GTAATATATAAAATAATGATGTGTCTTTCGGCAAAGAGATTTTAGCTTCTAATACTTTTCTATGTTGCTATAATGTGAAACAAATTAGGAACCATGGTTTTAAGTTCCTGAGTTTTTAATTTTTACTGCATTTGAACTTTCTGATAACAAAACAGTTTGAAATCAACTTTAAACATTTAAATTATTTGGGCCAGGCAGTGGTGCAGCTGTAATGCAACTGGATCCACTTGGAAAAATTTTGGTGTTTATGTCCTAGGACCTGTTTGAGCACACTGGGCCAGGTATAGATGTGTGACAAGGAGCTGGACTGGCTGAGGTGGGGTTGGATTGTGGAATGAAGACCTTGCTGGGGCTTTCTTTCCCTCATAAGACATATGAATGAATAACTTTTTTTTTTAAATGGCTAGAATGGTGCTGTTGATTATATTAAAAGAGGACTATATTGGGATTAATCTACCCTTACTTGTATATTGACCTCTGTCTCACTTCAGTTAGACTTTACATGCTAAAGATAGAATTTTATGCTGAAGCAATGTGCATAAGCAGAAGGAACATGCTTAGCACTGTCTTTCTCAGTGGAAGTGAAGAGAAGCTCTCAGAGGGTTAGAGTCCAAAGATTCTTTACATATTATCTCTGATGTCTACAATAAAGTCTTTGTATTAAATGCATGCAATTAAACAGATTGAAACCTTGCTTATTGGTTGGAGATGTAATTGGAGGCTAGCTTCTGACTATCACTGGACTCTGTCAGAATAGAGTGAGTCATTCAGCAAATACAACATTAGGATATAAATTAGAAAATAAAATAATTTTAAGTGGAAAGGGTTTTGAGGTGATGTAGTTTCACTCTTTCGTTTTACAGTGAGTAAACTAAGCCCAATGAAATGAAATGACCACCTGTGATCTCACAAGCTTGTTCATGGCAATAATTCGGCCTTTTGCTCGCAGTGGCAGGGTGGCGGGGATCCTGCCATCATCATACAGATGGGTCGTACAAGGCAGATTTTCACATAGACAAAATATAGAACTTTTTGGGTTGTTTGCTTATGTGTAAAATTTTCTTAGATTCAATTCATCTAGATGTTTGTCTTATTAGCACAAATAGATATTTACGGGTATTTTCTCATGGGTTAGGGATTTAATCCTTGTACATTTTTCTGTCCTAGAAGTTTTTCCTTCTAAGTAAGTATGGCCTTGATGATTTTCATCTTTTATCCTGTAATCTTATTTTTGTTTTCTCAACCCCCCCCAAAAAAAAACAAAAAGAAAAAAGAAAAGAAAAGAAAAGAAAAAAGTAAACCCAGAAAAATGCTACAATCTCTCTTGGATTTAAAAGTGCATTGGTATTACTCTAACCACAGCATAGTGATGAGGAGGAGAGAAGGGTCCAAAAGTCATTTTCTGTCCTCCTCACTCCATTCCTTCCAATAGAATTGACAATATATTTTAGAGGCCTATTAAACAGATAAATACATTCTGGATGGAATGACCCACCGTACTGATTTTAGGATATGACATTTAAGGGCTTATGAAAAAAGTACAGAGATGGCTTGCCAATATATCTTAGTGTACTACAAAATGAGGTTGATGCTGCCTTGCTTTTTATGTTTTGCTGCAGATGAGACTTCACAACCAAAATTGAAAGGACTATATTTATAGTATGTGGTATGTATATGTGTGTGTGAGTTTCTCTGGTATTAACATATGTGTGTACACACACAGACATACATACCTATGGGCTTAGCATAGGACTAGATTTTTCTTGCCTGATATCCTAAAATCTGAAAAGAAAGCTACTGTACAATATCTCTATCAAAACCGAGCAAAGCGTCTCTCTTCTCTATATAGAATCTTACGTTTTCTAATTGTTTTCACAATTAGCTTCATTGGGTTGTAAGTTTATCTAGAGTAGCTACCAAGACTTTTTTAAAATAAAAAATAAAAAGAAGTTCCTTAAGAAGAAAAAAGACAAAGAAAGAGTAGAAGAAGGAAAAAGAAGAAACTCCCTTCCTTAAGAAGAAAAAAAAGACACAGAAAGAGTAGAAGAAGGAAAAAGAAGAAATTCCCTTTCCTAAAATAGAGGGAGCATAAAATAATCTAAGGGCCTTTCAAAATCACATCTGAAAATCTGGTGCCTGGAAAGATGACACATGGTGGATATTGCACTGAAACCCATGGCCCGAATCACTGTGAAAAGAAACAGCATGAACTTTACAAATATGCCTCTTGACAATCTATAGAGAAAGATTATTAGGGTGAACAATCAATTCTGTAAAAGTGATTGCATGAACATTTCCATTTAAGATAGACATACGTCGTTTTACTTGATTCTACCTGTGACTGTTTTATAACATGAGAAGCTTTGTCAGTTTTTTTTTTTTTCTGAAAGTATTTTATCGTTGGTTTAAAAATGTTTAGAATAATAATTCAAAGCACATGGGAAGCAGTGTTGAGCTGGAGAGTGAGCAGGAGAATAGAGACGGGAAGGTGTAATGGCCAGTTCCTGAAAGGGGCTTACTGAGCATCTTGCAAAACAACCTTCAGGGTGGGGAGTTCTGGATCTCCATGTGAGGGTTATACCTCTGGATCACAATGTGAGGGTTATACCTAAGATCTCTGTTATCATTGTTTTTATATTTTTTGTCATCCTTCTTATTTATTTTATTTTATACATGTAGTCATAATATATTACTTAGCCTGTAAATGGAATTTCTAGATTTAATATTCAGTGATTCATTTGCATGAATGGAGGTAGAAAACAGCCATGAGATCATAATTTTTAGCAAACACACACAGACACAAGAATTTGGAATTTCTGAACCAGCAGATGCCACGGAGGTGGGGCTGGATCCCACATGGCTGACTATGTGGTTCAAGTTTTGGACCCAGTGGCTTGAAAAACACGCCAGGCGCATATGTGTGCATGCCCAAAATCCTGAGGAGACTGGAGGAGAAGGGATTGTGGCCTGGCCACACCCTCAGATATGCAGGGTGCTTTCTCACTTTCCCTCTGTCTCTGTCTCTGTCTCCAGCCAGTGCATGTTTCCTATAGAAAAAAAAAAAAGATTTTGAAATTTCTTTCCATTGGAAATCCTGTTCTGGCTTTAATTACCAGCACATATATTTTCTAAAGGATCAAATTTGTCAACTTTTATTTCTCATTCTTAGTACAGCATCACATTTCCAAAAAGCCATTTGTAATCATTCCTCCTCAGTATGATGAAGCTTCAATGTTAAATGTCCATTAAGTCTTTCTCCTCTTAACCCTTATGTCTTGGTCACTTAAAGAACAATGCTTTTGAGTAACAGAGTTACTCTTTCTTTCTGATTTTTTTTTTCCTTACAAAATTCAGTTTCCTGGGCAGCTTCTAAAGGGAAAATTCAATCATGAGATGTACCGTTGAAGAGGGCACCATGCTACTTTTAATATAAGCCCCTTTTAATCTCAGTAAGGTCATCCAACTTTTCTGATTTTTGCCTAGGGAGAACTTTCTCTTTATTTTTAACATAGATCCTTTTGTCTGGTTGGCCAGTAATTGACTTTGTCCCTTTTTTCATTTATTTCCTTGTCTCCTGGTTGCAGCATCTTCTCCCCGGAGTCTCAGGTTAGAAGTTTTCCCTTTTGTGAAACCATGACAGGTGCCTAATTGAATGATGAATGTCCCTTTATTACTCTGTAATTGAACTGCCAGCTTTTTGATTGGTTTGTAGAGATGCTCCCCCTCTCATCAGGCACTGCAGGGGGCTTGGTAGTTGGCAGTCTGGTCCTACACTCCATCTGTCTAATCCCATCCAGCCCCCACTTGCTTTTTTGGGGGTGGTGATAGAGGTAGGGAGTGAGGGGGAGGGAAGTCATAATAAATTATGCTAATTTGATGTGGCTCTGACAATGAGAAGATCGCATTGTTCTGTGCATCTTGGGGCTAAATGCTTCAAGACATTTTGTCGTCATGGGTGCCTAGCCTGACAGGCCCACGATGAAGATTAATGGACCTCACCTGAGTGACAGAACAGGGGATTGTGGGGAAGAGAGGGTCATTCATCATACTCTGACAGGTGTCATTCAATCCGACAGCGGCTCCATCGTCACCCAGCTAGCAGTTCCATTTTTCTGCCAGTTAAGCAAGGAGTTTAATAACATCCCCAGAATTAAAACTCATTCTTTGTAGCAGGTCTGACAGCTGAAAATAAGAAAATCAATTCCTCACATGTTATAGCACAGTTAACTGACTGGGGCTTTGACTCTAATTTAGTCTTTGGACTGCATTTCAAGCAAAGAGCTTTTTGTAAGACATCCTCTATTAAAATTTACCCGTAGTGCTAACTTTGGTGTTGATATTATTGTAGGTGCATTACAGCTTCTGGCTTTCTCACCCAGTGTCATTTTACTCACTAGATGCTGAAACATATCCCTGCAGTAGCTGTGTCTCTCCTACTTCATCCTCATTAACAATGTTTACTGCTTCTCTCTTCATTAATATTGATCTCCTCCCCAACTACCAGGAACAATAAGACAGACACTAATTTGAAACATTTGCCATCATTAAACTCTTTGGATTTCGGGTTTCAGGGATCTTGGAAGGCAGAGAAAATAGTTCAAAGATTAAGAAGGGGACTTAAAATTTGATGTCTGAGTGTTGAACTGATGAATGATGACATTTTAGGTTGGTAAGCATAGTAGACTGCAAAACTGGCTCTGGATTATTTTCTTCCTATTTTCCTCTGAATGAGGAGTCAATTTATCCATATCCTTAATCTGTGATGTCCATTCTGTTAGTTTTGACCAATAGAATGTGGTAAAAATGATGCTGTATGTCATTGAATACTGGAACTGATGAAATCTACACTTCTACTTTTCCTTTGTGGAGTCTAGACATCATATAAGATGTCAGTTCATCATGCAATTAGGAAGTCCAAGCTAGCTGGAGAAAGAGAGGTTACATGAAGGTACACTGAAGCACCTACCAGGCTATGAGTGAAGCATTTTTTAATCTTCCAGATCATTTCAGCTGCCAGCTGTATGCAGCCAAATGGAAGCCACCTTGGACGTTCCAACCTTGCCAATGCCAACGAGAACAGAAGAACTGCCCTGCTGAGCACTGTCCAAACTTCTGGGCCACAGAATTGGAAGTAAATAATATTGCTACAGTTAAAAGCCATTAAATTTGGTGTAGTTTGCTCTAGCAATGGATAACTGAAACAATCAGGGTGAAAAAATAAGGGAATTAGGTACATGGTTATTTTCCTGTAACTTAGATGTAGGAATATTTTAGTTTTAAGGGTACATACTCCCTTCAAAAGCTTCCTGGTTTGAGTACTTTTGCCTTCTTTTGTTATGCTATCTTCCTATTATCCCTTTCTCTTTTATGTAATAGAATAGTTTTTCAGTATATAGTTTTATTTCAGTATGTAGTAATAGTTTTTAAGAATAATTTTCCAGGGTGGAAAGAAGTCATGTCATTGACTGGAGAGGAATTACTACATTATTTCTATACTTCTTAGGCCTATCATTTCAATTTTATGCAGGAAGTTTTGAAGAAAACATCTTTGGGAAACAAACCCTACAATTAGAGTAGGTGATCCATGGCACAATATCAAACATGATTAAAGGGTTGTGAACTATATACATTGATTAAATAAACCAGATTTCTGTTCTGCCTCACAGGGTGGCATATAAATTCAGTCCATATAGATGATTATTTTCTTGTGAATTACATAATTGATTCTCAACAGTAATCAAATTAGCTAAAGACTTTGGTAACATAATTTATTGGGCCATCAAAACTAAAAATTATCTTATCTCTCCTACCTTCAAGAAAATAGACACCTTAATTACAACTTGAAAAGAACTGGTATAAAAATTCAATGTGAGGGATACCTATTTGTTTAAAGAGAAGCTCTATGAAGGCACATGTTACAAGCACACAGAGGACATGTAATTACACTTTTGGATTTTTATTTTATTTTATTTTATTTTATTTATTATTATCATGATCTTGTTTATATTACACTGAATCGCATATAACTTTACAGTGTATGACATTTATTTTTCCAGAAGGAATACCATGCAAATCAGCCAAGACAAAGACATTATTATCCATGTCATCATCAAATAGCTTTTCATCATTTTTTCCATATTATTATTGTTGTTCTCATTATTTTTTTAAACATTCAATCACTATTTATCATTTTGCTTGTAAAAAGACTTTACCCAACATGAAATACTTCTCAGACCAGTCCAGTTGAGAATAATACACATGTTATCATCAACAGGCAATAAACCATTTCTGTGTTCCACTAATGTCATGCATCTTTATTTGTTCTCTTGTCGAGCATGTACTTTGGAATTCTACTTGGCCATCAAAAACAACAAGGCCCTGGGACCAGCAGTTAGCGTAATGGCTATATCGCTGGACTCCCATGTAGTCAACCGCGGTTCGTGTCCCGGACCTGGTGGCTTAAACTCACGCCGGGCGCTTGTGTGTGCGTGCCCAAGATTCCAAGAGGAGAATGGAGGAGAATGGATTGTGGTGTGGCCATGCCCCCTGGGGGGTCATTTCTCGCTTTCTATCTCTCTCTCTGTCTGGCAAAAAAAAGAAAAAAACCTCTATAAACAAAATAAACAAAACAAAACATAAAAACAAGGCCCTGGCATTTGATAGAAAGTGGTCGTATATGGAGAATCTATTGGATTTTTTCAAATGAACAAATTATGGATATTTATTATAGCAGAAGCACATTTGAAGCTTGGGAAGAGGGAGGAATTATATAAATAATAGGATCTTGAGGAAGGCCTTGTGGTTAATTTTGTGAGATAAAAAGAAAGTAAGCATCACCATGGCAATTATTATTATAATAATTTCTACAGTAGAACTTTTACTTTCTTTAAAAACATCTTTCAAGACAGACATCTAAAAGTTCTGACATTTAGCTTTTGATGAAATGTCTTTGAAACCAGTAAGCCCTACTTGCCTAAAAGTCTTAAAAAGATGATACTGTGGTTGATGCTATTGATATAGTATTTTTCAATTACACAAAAATAAATACATACTTTAATTTTCCATGAACTTTTTGAAGTCCCCTCATATATACAAAGGAATTGAAATTAATTTTAGTGCTATTTACAATGGCCGACACATAGAAACAACATAAATATCCAATATCCATTTCTGGACAAATGGATAAAGAAAACATATATACATATATATATATCAGAATATTATAATATACATATATATATATCAGAATATTATATAGCCTCAAAAAAGAATATACTGCCGCTGGCAACAACATAGATGAACTTGTTTGAAAGAAAACACAGAAGGACAATTACTGTCTGATCTCATTTACATGAGGAATCTAAAATGATCATACTTAACACAAACAGGGAGTAGTATGATGGTTACCGTGGGCTAGAAGGAGGGAGAAACAGGGAGGATTGGTCAAAAGATATAAGAATTTAGTTGTTCAAGATGAGTAAATCCTATAGATCTACTATAAGGCATTGTGACTAGAGTTAATAATGCTGTCTGGGATACTTAAAATTTTGCTAAATTAAGTGTTCTTATGGCAATAATAAATTAATAAATAAACAAATAAAACAGGAATACACTTTTGGAGGTTATAGATATGTATATGGCATTGACTGTGATGGATTCATGGATATATACTTATTTCCAGACTTAAGTTGTACATTTTAAATATGTACCACTTTTCATATATTCATCATACCTCATTAAAGATGGTATAAATATGCTAATAATAAGAATTACCCCACTTATGTAATGTCTTGCAAAGCTAAATAATAATTATTTATTAATATAATTATCTAAGAAAAATAAAAGTAATCAATTATAAACAAAAATGTTGGAAGACTTAGATCCCTGTCGTTTAGGCTCTCTGTTGCTTAGGACAGAACTTTGGGTAAATCACTTCACATCTCTAAACTATAGTTGTCTTACAAAATTGAATTGATAACCCTCTTGCCCATCATTGGTTTTATGAGAATCAACTTTCATTATGTATATAAAAGCAACTAACGAAAGCTTAGGTTAACTCTTTGCCAACCACCCTTACCATCTTGCCACTCGAGCAAAGTAGTTGAAACGTATTTAAACATTTTTATGTTGTGACTGTAATTTTAAACATCATATTTTAAAACAGTCTTCTAGGAGCTTTTGAAGTGTATAAGTAATTATATAAAACTTTGATTTATCTTTAGACCAGACAATTCTATTGCATAAACATTTCTCTGATGGCATCTTTACATATGGCTTCTATTATCTCAACAATTAAAAAAAGACAATGTGTTCTTGTGTTCAGTAAATGATAAAGCACAATAGAAGCAGAATATGTACCAAGAATGTCATCATTTCCTGAGAACAGAAGACAAAGTACAAGAAGAACAAAAAAATAGGAGGAAGGAAAAACAGATACCTCATCGTCATAGGCGAAAGTCCTAGAGGGTAGACTCAAGAAATCTGACAGCTCGAGCAAAACTTAAAACCTGGAGTTGACAAATATGAATGCTAAAACCAGAAGTGCTCTGGCAGACTACCATTTGCTAAATGGAAGAGAGCAAATGGCCAACCCAGTCAGGTAGACAACACTGGGTGGCAGTGCCTACTTTGTAGTATGACATGTAGTTTCCACTCATGAAGGTTCCAGTCAGAGGAGTAGCATTCCAGTGGGTGGGTCTGATGTTAGGGAGGTGGATTCCATTTGACTTACAGCTGCACCAAAAGCTGACTTTGGCAGGAATTCCCAGGCTGTAATTTTATAAACAGTCTATTCTTTCCAGAACCTCCAAAGTGAATTTAGACCTCAGCACAGATTCTGTCTCACATCTTTATTTTGTGTCATCACATTCTAATCTGATGACAAATAGTTGGTTTGAGATTTCAGTATATTACTATATTAGTGCAATTTATGTCCTGTGTGGAAGTTAATGATGTGTAAAGACTGTATTGTGGACTTGCCTGGATTCTAATCCAGCACCTAAATGGATAGTGCTGCTTTGGTGATCACAACGGCTCTTTATTGTGAAATTAAGTGGTTAATATGTGGTGCTGTCTCACCAGAAGGGACTGGGAGCAATATTAATCATAGATCCTTAAAATAGGTCCAAGTCACCTGCAATTCACCTTGAAATAATCACGATTATAATTTAGTATCCAATCATGCCCTTTTTGCTTAGTATTGTTTACAATAATTTATTTAGAAATTTACACCATGTATTATATAAATAAGACATATTAGATGGAGGGGATCCAGCTGAGGAAGGCAGAAGATAGCTACCTAAATTTCTCACAGGACTGCCACTGTCTAACCAAGTAGACAATGGTTTGATTTTTCCTACTTACTGAGAGATGCAGTGCTGGATGGCAAACCAATTATCCAGGTGCATTCTCATTCCAAGCCTTTCAGATTTTTTTCTTTTCCCGTAAGAAATTTCCACAACTTGAAAGCACTACAGTCTCCTGGCACATCCCAGAAGAAGTAGACCTGAAATAGATGAGCTCAAGAAGACTAGAAAGTAAATCAATTTCCATTTCCACAAGCCTGAGTCTGCTCATTTTCAGAGAGGACAAATCATGCAGAAAATAGTGCCAAATTACTCATGGTTTAATGACAATTTCACAGAAAAGACAACTGATCTCCAAAGTTGTTATGCTTAGGACTGTATGTGGAGAGAGGTGGTTTAGACCTGGAGAGAGGTGGTTTAGACCTGGATTGAGGCACTGGCAAGGACTTAATGCCTCAAGGGCCAAAACCTCACCCTTTGCTTCTTGGCTTGCCACGCTGATGTAAACAAAATGCTCTACCTTGGCAGTTGCCTAGTTCCTCTTCAGTGGTCCATGGGTATTTTCCATGTCTCCTTGTGGCTGGATTTTTTTTTTTTTAATCCTTGTTGAGATAAAAAAAATCAAACAACGTCATCCAACATTCTGTAAAGTAAATTCTCAGCTAACTCATCTATTTGAGTGGCAGCCTCTGCTTTATAACTTCTTGATATTTTTACTAGATGAACAGATATTTTTCAAGCCATATATTTTTTTGGAGGAGCATGTGTACAGGGTCAAGGAGGGACTATTTGCTAACTTTGTTGGACAAAAGGGAGAGGAGTAAATGTGCCTTTAATCATGAGACACACTTCAATGTTTTCATAATGGCTAATAAACAGATGTTGACTTACTGAGTTATTTCTTCCCTTGAACACTGCTCCTTGTTATTTGGGATATGCAGTCAGTTGAATGCCATCAGCAGAGGTATGGGCTAATAGCATGTTTTCTACAATGTATATCAATTTTTCTATCTGATTGGACTTGCCTCAGTAAAGATTATTTGTTTTCTCCACTACACTGAACAAAGAAAGACGTATAACATGAGTTAAATAGATCATTTAAAGTTTTCTAATAGCCACAACAAAAAAAGTAAGAAGAAAAGTGAAAATAATTACGATAGCACATTCTATTTAACTCAATATATCTAAAATATAATTTCAACATATAATCTTACAGAAAATACTAATAATATGTTTTACATTAATTTTTCATACTTCATTTTAGAAATCTAGTGTTTATAATACATGTTAATTTGGTATAGTCACATTTTAAGGTCTCAATAACTACATACAGCTAACACATTAGATAGGACAGATCTGATAAAACGAATTTACCCCAGTTGTTTTCAAAATGTGTTTGTAAAACCAGTGTATCTTTCTTAGATTTTGAAATATTCAGGAAAAAGCACCAGGCCTACAGATGCCTTACATTTAATGTGTACATTTTAGTTTCTCAAGGCACAAAATAAGCATGTATGAGGCTCTTTCCTAATAAGATTTCTTTTCAGTTACCTTTTTAAACTATAGAGATGCCAGTAACACATACTGAAACTGTAAATATTATATTATTATTTCTCCTTCCCA